AGCCTATGTTCGTATGTATATATGCATCTTTGAAGTATGCATGTTTGTATGTATATACGTATCTTAGCATATATGCATGTATCTACATACGTATGCATGTATGTACATACGTATGCATGTATGTACATACGTATGCATGTATGTACATACGTATGCATGTATGTACATACGTATGCATGTTTGTATGCATATATGAGCCTATATTCGTATGTATATATGCATCTTTGAAGCATGCATGTTTGTATGTATATACGTATCTTCGCATGTATGCATGTATGTACATACGTATGCATGTATGTACATATGTATGCATGTATGTACATACATATACATGTTTGTATGCATATATGAGCCTATGTTCGTATGTATATATGCATCTTTGAAGTATGCATGTTTGTATGTATATACGTATCTTAGCATGTATGCATGTATCTACATACGTATGCATGTTTGTATGCATATAATAGCCTATATTCGTATGTATATATGCATCTTTGGATGTATGCATGTATGTAAATAAAAAAGCATAAGGTGATAAAGGCCTGCTAGTTGAGTTTTCCACAATTATATGAGTAGGCGTCAGGATTAAATAGAATTTCTCTGGACCATGCCTCCTAAAATGTATTCTTATTCAGAGTGGACAGAAGTTCTCGCCTGGATGAGGCCACTTCTTTGGAGGCAGAGCCAAGTAAAAATTGTCTGGAAACATGAGACCCACTTGTATGAATGTGAGAATACTCAATCTTTAATACTACTCACAATTATTGTGATAATGGGATGGCTTTTTTCCGTCATCTCAAATAAAAATACGTTCAACTTTCAAACATAGCCTCAACTAAAATTATCTATAAATGAATATATGTTTATGCTAATTAGTGTCTAGCCTAAAGCCTTACTTTCATTCTGTGAGTTCATTTATCATCGCCATTTTAAATAATGAAGAGATAAAAATGGACAATTTATCAATATTGAGGAAGACTGTATAATTTCCAGACAGAATGTTTTCAAGATCTGAGCATACACAAATCTTTGTTTGGGCAATAATTATTAATAAATGCAAAATCATAATGGTCTTCACACAAAAAGATAATCGCTTTACCTATTTGCATCGAGACTGCAAATGAAGTACTGATAGTTCACAGACCTGCACGCACCGAAAATAACTATCATAATGGATTTAGCCGTCTCAGTAATAGCTGCCTTAGTGCCCATGACTGTGTGATGCAATGGTTACATGTCGCCTGTTTACGCGTATGATCCAGGTTCGATTACCGTAAGAGGTGGTGGTGATGAGACGGTGAGGCAAGGTCGGAAAGGCAGTCCAATACAGGCCAGCTCGAAAGAGACGGCAGTTTAGGAGCAAAGACCAAGTGTGAATCTCCATAGCATTCCAAGTGTACTCATCTGACTATAAAAAATTCAACTATCCCTACTTAACTCATCCTCATCGGCCTTGGCTGACTGAGTTCGTTTGCCAAAATAACGGACACTCGTGAAAACTAATCACATCAAAAACTCACATCAGATCAAAACATGTTAATAATATTATATATACGTTAGCATAGATGATAAAAATAGATAGATAGATAGATATTTTTAATATAAGAAATATTCTCCATTCAAGTTGGGGACGCTGATCAGACATGGAAAAGACCGCAACTGTAGTCTATCCGAGATATGTAGATCAATTATTGGAGGCGGCAGTCTGAAACTTACTCATCTGAACATGTAAGAAAACTCAACAATCAGTCCTTAAATTACTTTCAGCGACTTAGACTTAATGGCCAAGTTTTTAGTAAAAAATTACCAATAGTTTCGATGCCTACTTATAACGAAATAAGTAGCAACCTCTATTTCAATCGACATTGTCGGACAATTAAACCATCAGTTCTTAAATTGCGCTCAGCTACTTGGGCTCATTGGTTATGTTCTCATTACATAATGATTAATATTCTTTACACAGACCTTTATCCAAAAGTTGCAAATCCAGTCTTCTGGTCTTAACGACGGCTTGGCTTTTCAGTTCGGCCAGTCTTTGCCAATTTTTTTCAACATCGATTCGTGGAATCCTCTTGTCCTTCCTTCCTTCTTTTATTGGCATTGTCAGCCTCGCTCTTGACCAGAATGCCAACCTCGACAATCCTCGCCCGTGTTCACACAAATGGCTGACTGTGAGCCCTCGAGAATAGGCCCTAGGAGCTCACATCTCGACCGAGCCTTATCGATAAGTCCACTTACCTTGGCTTTCGGTACAGCTTCCCTTTTCGTCCCCTCGACTCTTCAAATGCCAAGATTAAAGGACTCCCGGAGGCGAGCGAGCCCCTTAAGGCCTCATTATCTGTCTGGAATTCGGAAGAGTATGGCTCAAAGTCTTATTTCGAAGGAAAGGTTAGTTGAGGAAATTGGTGATTTGGCCTCATTGAAAACTGTCGTCAAGTGAAAACTGTTGGCCTGTGCCAAGAAGAACAAGTCAGTTCTCCTTCAATTTGCGGTGAAGACAATTTATGATTTCCTTCAAGCCAACTTTCAGTGTGCTAAATCATCAAGGGATGCCTAAAGAATCAAACTTTTCTTCACATATTGGAAGAGCATATTTGCACACGGCGACACCACACTTTGACGACCCAACTCAAATAGTCGCTAGGCGCTCTTGTGCTCTCTTTTTTATTGCCATGTCTCTCAGGGCACATCGCGACACTGACATGAAAAGTTGCCAATCATGTGTGACGAGCCTCGGATCTTGGACAATTTGATCCAGACTGGCTTCTGATAGAATGCATAAGTTTTTGATGCTTCTTCCCAGAAGAGCTGGACTGGGAATTATAGTGATGTGGGAGTGATTGCAAATTTTACCACAATTTCCAGTAATATCCTTGACAGTTTTGTGGCTATACTCGAACAATTGAATAGTAATCTCAGTTTTATAATATAATTTAGTGAGAACAAATATCTTGAAGTAGTGTGACCACGATTTCGCAACTCAGTCATGTTGCCAAGGTGATCTAGGATGAAGACGCATTGTCCGAAGTCCTCTGCCAGAGTATTCATGACACTTTCAAGCTTATCATGAAAGGATATCTAGACCTTGGTCTTCATACTATGGATTGAAGAGTGCATATCGCTTCATCATTTGTGTTCCGGTCGTTATGGTCGAAATAAAGTTAACGTAGTAGGTTGACCTTGTTTTCACAACTTGGTCTTGTTGTCAGGGCGACTTGTCATGGTAGCTAGCATAATTCCCAGCATCAGACCGTTGAATTGGTACATTCTCAGACGTTTCGCAGGCATCGTGGTCGGCCTCGTCAGTGAGTCTTGTCATTCTAAGCACAGGACTACAATTTGTCAAAGATCACAGAAAGACGAGTAATAGTGCAACCGTCTGAGAATGTACCAAGTTGACAATCGGATGCTGGGAATTATGATAGCTACTATGGTAGAGGACTTCGGACAATATGCGTTCTACAAAGTCGCCTTGACAACAAGAACAAGTTGCTAAAACGAGGTCAACCCACTTCTATAAATCAAAATGAGACTCCGACCATATCGAGGGTAACAGCATTTTGGTATTTATATCTTCTGAGTAAAGTTAAGTCGGCATCTATATTCGCAACCAAGTGATGCCAGTTTCATTTTAAATTTACTTTCCAAACCCTATCACTAGCGCAATTAAGTACGAAATGTTATTTCCTAAGAGACATATTTTGATCGAGAATGGGCCCTTTTCCTGGTTCAGTGATAGCAATGCTGGTCGTGAGTAAATGAAGATATAAAATGTATTCACCCAATTTCGTATAAGGTGATGAAGGACTGGTAAAAGTAGAATTTTCCCACTCATATCATTTGTGGGAACATTCTATTTCTACCAGTCATTCATCACCTTAAACGAAATTGGGTGAATACATCTTATAACTGATTTACTGGTAGTCACGAAAAACAATACCTAAACGAAATTGGGTGAATACATCTTATAACTGATTTACTGGTAGTCACGAAAAACAATACTTAATTCGATCTTATAACTGATTTATTGGGTAGTCACGAAAAACAATACTTACTTCGAAAAATAAAGTATAGTAGTCGATTGTTATAGCAAAACATACGTTTGCCTCATCGACAATTCCACAAAAAAAACAAAAATATAATATGACAAAAAGCCCTGGTCCTACTTGAAAATTCACATTTGCCTTGTGACCCAAAAGGCGCTCGTGGCAGTTAGGCCGAGTGGTTGGTGTGTCAAACTACCGTCCTGCC